CGTGTGTGCTGCAAGTGACCATACCATTGGAGCGGTGATGGGCCAAATAAAGGACAAGATGTTTCAATCCATATACCATACGAGTAAAACTCTTGATGATGCACAATTAAATTACACCACCACTAAGAAGGAGTTGTTAGCTGCTCTATGGGCATTCGGGAAATATTGAGCGTACTTTGTAGGAGCCAAAGTCATAGTCTACACCAATCATGTACCAATCAAGTATTTGTTTTCAAAAAAGGAATCTAAATCTAGATTGATACGCTGGGTTTTACTGTTGCAAGAATTTGACATAGAAATACGAGATTGGAAAGGAACAAAAAAACCATGCGGTAAATCACCTGTCTCGATTGGAGAACCATGAGCATGTAGAAGAGGAGGAAAAAATTAAGGAGACATTCCCCGTTGAACAACTTGTTTCCATCATGCATTATCCTACCCCATGGTAGGCGGATTATGTGAACTATAGAGTAAGTGAAATTTTTCCTCCAGATATCCAATCAGAGGCCAAGAAGAGGTTCCTTCATAATGTGAACTTTTTCTATTGGGATGAGCCACTCTTGTATAGATAGTGAGTTGATCACTTGATGAGAAGATCCATTCCTGAAAAAAGAAGTGGAACAGAGGTTATATGATTGTCACGCTTCACCTTATGGGGGTCATCATGGAGGCGATTGGAGGCTACAAAGGTGCTGTAGTCATGGTTTTATTAGCCAACTCTATTCAAAGATGCCCATGCGTTTGTGAAGAAGTGTGACTAATGATAGAGAGCAGGAACAATCACAAGACGACATGACATTCTATTGACTAATATCATGGAGGTGGAGATTTTTTATGTATAGGTCATAGATTTCATGGGACCCTTCCCATTGTCAATAGAAAAAAAGTACATCTTGCTCGCGGTGGATTACGTGTCAAAAAGGGTGGAGGCTTTGCTGACCAATGATGCCGAGGTTTGGGGCTCCATATACTTTAATTAGTGATGAAGGAACACACTTTTGCAATCGGTTGCTAAATAACCTTCTATCTATATATGGGGTCCTCCATAGAGTCTTCACTGCCTACTATCCGCAAACAAGTGGATAAGATGAAGTATCAAATAGAGAAATAAAGCAAATATTAGAGAAAATAGTGAGTGTGAATAGGAAGGGTTGAGTGGCAAAGTTGGATGATGTTTTTTTGGCATATAGAAATGAATATAAAATGCCAACTGGAACATATCTGTACAAGCTTGTGTATGGGAAAATGTGTCACTTGCCTGTTGAACTTGAGCATAAGGTTTATTAGAAAGTTAATGAGTTTAACATGGATGTAGAATCCACGTGCGAGAGAAGGCTCTTGTAATTGAATGAGTTGGATGAGTTCAGACTACATTCATATGATAATGCGAAGCTTTACAAGGAGAAAACCAAAAGATGGCACGACATGCATATCATGTCCCGTCAATTCGAATCAGGCCAATGGGTACTGTTGTTCAATTACATGCTCAAATTATTCCCTGGGAAGTTAAAATGAAGGTGTCTAGGTCCGTTTGAGATGGTGAAGGTCACCCCATATGGTGCAATTGTGTTGCACGTATGAAATGGGGAAAGAACTATTTTGGTGAATGGGCAAATAGTCAAGCATTATACGGGAGATGTGGTTGATGACAAAGGATTAAAGTGATGCTCATTGATGAGTAGGCAAGGCTTTGCATTATTCCGCGATGTTCAATTAGGTATTTTTTGGAGGAAACCTAATGTTTATTGCTTTTTCTCTCCTCACTCTCTCTCTATATCATCTCTCTGCTCCCACCCACNAGATCCTTCTCCCCTGTTTTTTTCTTTCCCCCTTTTTTCTTTCTCCTCCCTTTCCCCTACTCTTTACTCCCCCCTCTCTTGCCTTCTCGTTCACCTTTGCTACCAACTGTACAGTGGCAGTAGTGACGGCGAGACCACTGATTCTTCTTCTCCTTCCATTATCCAGGTTAATCGGAGTAGTGCGTAGGGTTTGCGGTGGAATTTCAGAAGTTTTAGCTAGTGGTATGGCGGCGCATCGTGGCACATTACGGTAACCGATGTCGGCTAATTCTTCAGCAATGCCTCGACTCCCCGACTATATACAGGTTCTTCCGCTCTAGAGTTGGGACCTCCGGGCATCCAGTTACATTTTCTTATCTCCCTTCCTTGTCTACTTCGGATTGATTACCTTTACTTGTTAATTAGTTGAGTTACTTCCATTTTATGGGTATTCAATTGTACTTGTACGTGATTTTCTTATCTGTACTTGTAATTATTTCTCTAAGATAAAATAAATTTAGTTTACTTATTTAGGCTGACTATTACCTTGTATTAGTGATAATTTTAGATTTGAGCCCTTAGAATTTGGTGGTTGGAGTAGTTGATGGAGTAAGGTCTTGTCCTCAGGTGAGGCNAATTTAAGGTTTTGTGGAGCCGAGGTAGGCTAAAGTGTTCGGAGGTAGCCGAGGTACGGACTTTTTGGGTTGAAGAATGCACTATGAGTTGATGGAAATATTTGGCAGAAAAAGGCAGTTCTGCGATCAATTTTGCGAACGCAGAACCATTCTGCGGTCTGCATAATTATCGCGGAGTTGAGCAAAAATTTTTTTGAATTTTAAAGGTTGTTTTGCGGTCCATTATGCGATAGCATATCCATTTCGCAGTCCGCACTTCCATCGCAGAATTGGCATGAAGAATTTTGTTTGGTGATTCTGCAGTACATTCTGCGTCCGCACAACTGGTCTGCGGACTGCAAACCTGAATGCATACTGGTCCAGATAAACCTAGTTTTTGGCATCAATTTCGAGGTCCCTTATGCAGACCGCGTACTTGTTCTGCGGTCCACTCTGCGACCGCGGAGTTGAGTTCGGAGGGCCCATTTTCTATTCTTATAACCTGATATTTCTTATAAAACAATTTTGGGGTTATTTTGGCCGGGTTAAACATATATTTTAGAGAGAAGGGAGTGCTTTACAGAGGGAGAAATAGATTACCATTGTAGAGCTTTGTAGTCGATTTTGCATAATAGGTGTTTGACAAAATTCCCAAGAGAGTTATATCATGAGAATCCTTGTAATTGTTATCGGATTTTTGCTATCTTCCTATAGATTGATATTGCTTGAGGTGTTGGGATATTGTAGTAACTTAAGGAAAGCTCAAGCAATGTATGTTGGCTAAACTTCTCTCTTAGAATTGAATTACATGATGTTCGCTTAAGTTTCAAGTATGGTTGGCCCCGGTTCCTAATTCCCATGTTCCGAGTTGTTCCTAATAAATTCAATTATCCCTAGTAAGTGTTGTGTTGAAAGGTGCATATACTCAAAACTGGTTCTAATTATTCCTATCATATTATGACATACGAGAATGTTTTTAATTATGGTTTAGGTATAAAAGTGTTATAACTTCAATTCATGTTCAAATGAAAGTGCATTATGCTTAACTTGGAAAGAAAACTCAATGTGCTTAAGACTCACATTGATCATATACATATTTGAGGTCTTGATTCCAAATGCCTTAATTGTTGGTAACCTATGATGATGTTTGGAAGTGGAAGAAGTGAGAGTAAGATGTAAAACTTGGCCATGGTTGTTGTAACTAGTGCATTTGATTTGTATTCGTGTTTCAATCGTAAATCACCATTCTCTCCTTATATACTCATGAGTTGAAATTGTGTATTGCCCTTTTGGGAAAAAGTATTTTTAGAATAAGTGGTGTATCACCCATTTATGCTTTTAACTCGTACTTCAATTGCTAGTTATATTTCTCCACTCTTTGAAAAGGAATCTATTGTGTTTAAAGCCTTGATTACTAATGAACCTAAAGTTGTGATTTTCGTAATATTCTATATGTCGATGTTTCTGATGATGATCCTTGAAAGTAAATAAATGAAAGTGTGGAATATGAAATATGGCCAACGTGCCATGAATGAAGAATCATACGTATGGCCAAGAGAGCCAAGGAAATTATGATGTTGTGAATGCCTGAAAGTACTAATGAGGCTATATATCATGTGAAAGGTTATGAGGTGAATCTCTGTGTACTTATGTTTCCCTTGTCTACAAAACAAAAATGATTTTTGGAGCATCATTAGTGAACTGAGGAAAGGTGGGTCGAAACGGCCCACACCCGAAACTACACGTGACGGTGTAGGAGTGGATTGTGATTACTTCCCATATTTGGGATGAGATTTAAATATTGATGTTATGAGATTATTTCCCTTAATTAGGATGATATTGATGATAGCTATGAATTGTAAGTGATGAAGTCGACCCACATAGCATATATGGGAAGGCGGCCTAGCCGATCGCGTGGAGATCAGATACCATGCCGCGCACATGGTGGTTCCTATTCTTTGTAACACCTTTCATTCACATCACATGTCTATCCACATTGTTAGTGGAGAGATGACCTAGACGATCGGGTGTGATCGCACTCCGTGCTAAAAACACGGTAGTATATCGGTGCTAATGATCTCCCAACCAAAAATAATATTATTTTTGTATTTTGAAAATTGTTATGTTTTAACTTGGCATTTGGATATTATTGATTGTTACTTGTTGCTTCCATGGGTTTCCCCCTCTTATATTGGCATTCTATTTCGAAAGAGTACATATAGCTTTACATAATAGTATTATTCCACATGTACTAACGTCCCTTTTGTCGGGGTGCTGCATCTTCAATGGATGCAGGTGGTTTGACAGTGGGCAGCTTTGGTCTTCACTAGCAGTTACTCTCTATTCAGCCGGTTTTGGTGAGCCCTACTCTATTCCGGGCCTGATTTCACTTGATGTTGTACTTTTTATTTCGAGGTATAGCCGAGGTCTTGTCGCCGACACATCTATATTACTCTTCTATTGTACTTAGAGGCTCCGTAGACATGTTGTCGGTGGCGTTCAATGTTGTGTAATGAATTAGAAGTGTTGGTATTGGTCAAACATATTTTTCCCCCATAAATATGGATTTGTGATCTTATGAAAATTGTAAATGAATATCTTTTGAGTAATGGAAAAGAATGTGGAGCACTTGACTCCTCTCATGTCTATCTCTTGTTATTGGTTCTTAAATTGTTCTTGGGTAAGGTTGGGTAGAAGGCATCAAGTAGGCTTGCTTGACGGGGGTATCTCAGTTGAGCGCCAGTCGTGCTCCCCGAGATCGGGGCATGACAATGGGTCATGGAACATAGGTACTTTGACGGGTAAATCTATAGAGTTAGCAAAGATCCCCCAGAAGAGTAAGATTAGTATTTCATGCATCCAGGAGACTAGGTGGGTGGGTTTTAGGGCATGGGATGTTGACGGGTATAAACTATGTTATTCTGGTTGCGTAAGGGGTAAGAACGGAGTAGGTATTTTGGTGGATGGAGAACTCCGAGATCTAGTGGTTGAGGTTAGGAGGGTGAATGATAGACTGATGGCTATTAAGCTAGTTGTTGGAGGGTTTATGTTGAACGTTATTAGCGCCTACACTCCTCAAGTAAGATTGGGCGAGGAGGTCAAAAGGCATGAGCTGGATAAGGTTGTTCATGGTATCCTCTTTAATGAGAAGCTATTTATAGGAGGGGACTTCAATGGCCACATCCAGTTGTCTTTAGAGGGTTATGATGATGTGCATGGCGCCTTCAGTTTTGGGGTTAGAAATGGAGGTGGTTCTTCGCTATTGGATTTTGCAAAGGCTTTTGATTTTGTGATAGCTAACTCAGGTTTTCAGAAGAAGGAGGAACATTTGGTAACATTTCAGAGTATGGTTTCCAGGACTCGGATTGACTACCTACTCCATAGGAGGTACGATAGAGGTCTTTGCACGGATTTCAAGGTTATTCCAGGTGAGAATATCTCAACACAACATAGGCTATAAGTGATGGATTTGGAGACCAGGAGGAAGAGGAAAAAGAGGGATGTGTGTGGTCTACCCAAGATCAAGTGGGGAGCCTTGACTGAAGACACATCTCGGGTGCTAGGGAAGAAGTTTGAGGTTATGGGGGCATGGACGAGTAGTGGGAATGCGAGTGGTATGTGGACTTTGATAGCGAACTGCATTAGGGAAGCTGTTAGATGGGTGTTAGGGGTCTCGAATGGTTACTCTGGAGGTCAAAGGGGGTTGGTAGTGGAATGGCGAGGTCCAAGTAAAGGTAGAAGCCAAGAAAGTAGCGTACTTGAAACTGGTGGAGAGCAAGGACGAAGATGAGAAGAGGACGAACAAGGAGTGGTATAAGAGGGCCAAGAAAGAGGCGAAGTTAGCGATTACAACGGCTAAAACAGCAGCATTTGGACGTTTGTATGAGGAACTTAGTGACAAGGGTGGAGATAAGAAGTTGTACATGCTAGCTAAGGTGAGAGAAAGGAAGGCCCGTGACTTAGATCAGGTGAAGTGCAACAATGATGAGGATGGTAGAGTATTGATGGATGATGCGCATATTAGACGTAGATGGCAGTCATACTTCCATAAACTCTTAAATGAAGAGGGGGATAGGGGTAATGTATTGGATTATTTGGAGCACTCCGAGAGTCGTCGTGACTTTGGTTTTTGTAGGCGTATCAAAATGGGGGAGGTCGAGAGGGATATGTGGAAGATGTACAGGGGAAGAGCAATCGGGCCAGATGAAATTCTTGTAGAATTTTAGAAGAGCGTGGGTAGAGCTGGCTTGGAATGGCTCACGGGGTTGTTTAACACCATCTCTAGGACGAAGAAAATGCCCGAGGAATGGAAGTGGAGTACGATGATTCCGGTGTATAGGAACAAGAGAGATATCCAAAATTATAACAACTATAGGGGTATCAAGCTGCTGAGCCATACTATGAATGCCCGGGAGAGAGTAGTGGAAGTGAGGGTGAGGAAACATGTGTCTATTTCCAAAAACCAGTTCAATTCATGTCGGAACATTCAACTACGGAAGCCATTCACCTTGTAAGGAGATTATTGGATTAGTATAGGGAGAGGAAGAGAGACTTACATATGGTGTTCATTGATCTAGAGAAAGCATATGACATCATAAAATGCTTAAATGAATTATGATGACCAAGCCTGACTCAGGCAGCCTACATATCCAAATGGAATCGGGTCAAGATGTAGTTCATATTATAATAGATTCGAAGTGGTAAGAAATTTGAAATGATATGTTGAGTCTGACTCAGAGTGCCTTTGTATTCAAATAGAATCAGGCCAAAACTTAGTTTGATTACAATAGATGACTGAATCCGATGTGGATTGCCTACGTATTCCTGCCAAAAGGAAATCAAGTCGTAGCATAGTTCCGAATACATACAAAATGACATTTGGATTTTCTATTACAAGAGGTGGAGGAAGACCAGACCCTACGTGGGTTGCCTACGTATCCCACCGTGGGAAGTCAGGTCAAGTGTAGTTCTGTTACAACAAAACCCTAATTCTATTGTCTTCAAATGTAGTATCTCATGACTACGTCCGAGTTGATAGGATTCGTGATGACTCTACCGTTGATACTTATGTAATTGAAAAGGTCCTTTTTAAATTTCCTGGTAGTTGTTGGAAATTGAAAAAGAAAGTACTATCACCACTAGTAGCAGTATTTTTGGCGAGCATGTCGGCTACTTGATTAGATTCCCTATAGCAGTGATTAATATCCACATCTTCTTGAGTTAGGGTCTATCTAACATCTTTAGTGAGACTTGAGTTTGAGGTTATTGGTGTTTCCTTGTATTATCATGTTGGCAATTATTTATGACTCTATCTCTAAGTCGATGTTGTTGTACCCTTGATGGACAAACCACTAGATTCCCATTTTAGTAGACATGGCCTCAGCGATATTGTTGGTCTTACCCTTGACAAATAACGAGAATGCCATAATTAGTTCACCTTGTTGATCCCTCACTATTCCCCCTATTCCAGCTCGTCTTGTCTCCTTGAAATAACTTCCATCAGTATTCACTTTGATCCTTCCAATAAGGGGTTTCTTCCAAGTAATGAGTATTCACTTTTATGTTGAATACGTTGGCCATCTTATTTTGATACAGCTGACCATGGCACACTGGTTCATACTCTTTTCATCAATGAGCATGAGTTCTTTTTTCCTAACACGTATCCATTCTGCATCATATAGCTTGGCTTTCTGGATGATTCTCAAAGATGGTATCTCGAACTCTGCGGCTATCACAGCTTCTGTGCCATATACCAACATGTCTGGCATTTCCCCAGTAGATGTTCTCATAGTGGTACAGTAACCCAGTAAGGAAAAGGATAGCTCTTCGTGCCACTGCCTGTGATTGTCCATTATCTTCTGTAAGATCCTCTTGATGTTTTTTTGGATGCTTCAACAGTTCAACTACTCCATTCATTTATGGCTTGTAGGCTGTGGAATTGCAGTGGATGATTCTGATCTTCTCACAAATCTCCCTCATAAGATCACTGTTAAGATTGGTTGTGTTATCAGTTATGATTGACTCTGGAATTCTGAATCTACAGACTATGTTGTTACGGATGAAATCTGCAACTACGTTCTTCGTGACAGCCTTATATGTAGAGGCTTCGGCCCATTTGGTGAAGTAGTCGATGGCTACCAAGATGAAACGATGCTCGTTTGATATGGCGGGTTCTATAGGTCCAATCACATCTATGTCCCAAGCAACAAACGGCCAAGGAGAACCCATTACGTTTAACTCATTCGGTGGAACCCAGATGAAATCCCCATGAATCTGAAACTAGTGACACTTTTGCACGTAGCGGATGCTATCATTTTTCATGGTCATCCAAAAGTATCCATCTATCAAAATCTTCATGGCTAAGGTGAAATTATTCATATGAGGTCCGCACGTTCCTATGCGTATCTCTTCCAATAACCTTGTTTCTTCAGTAGCATCTACACACCTTAACATGCAAGACTTCCCCATTAAGGAAAAAGTGATTTGCTAGTCTTCTCAATTCTCGCTTATAACCATTAGTGGCACTCTTTGGGTATTCTCTTACTTTGAGGAACCTTTTGATGTCGTGGTACCAAGTCTTACCATCTGGCTCTTCATCTACATGGAAACAGTATACGTGTCGATCTCGAACCTCTATCTCAATGGGGTCGATGTAATTCTTGTCTGGATGCTGGATCATGGATGATAAGGTTGCTAGAGCGTTGGCAAACTCCTTCTTGATTCTGGGAACATGCTTGAACTCGATCTTGGTTAACTTCTTACATACTCCTTTACGCAGTGCAAGTATGGAAGGATCTTGACATTCTTGGTGGTCCATTCTCCCTGAACTTGGTGTATAAACAAATTAGGATCTCCTATGACCAAAAGATCCTTCATGTTCATGTCGGCTATCATCCTCATCCCGAGGATGCTTGCCTCATATTCTTCCATATTATTTGAGTAGGGGGACCTTATCTTAGCTGAAGATGGAAAATGCTATCCCGACTTAGAAATTAGGACTGCCCCAATTCCTACTCCTTTGAAACTTGCTGCTCCATCGAAAAACATTCTCCATCCTAGATATGACCCTGAAATGTCCTCCCTTCGAACAACACTTCTTCATTTGGGAAATATGTTATAAGTGGATTGTAATCTTTGCCCACTGAGTTTTCTGTGAGATGATCAGTCAATGCTTGTCCTTTGATAGCTTTCTGCATCACGTACACTATGTCGAACTCACTGAGAAGAATCTGTCATTTGGCCAACTTTCCTATAGGCATCGCCTTCTTAAAGATGTACTTGAGCGGGTCGAGTCGTGATATCAGATATGTGGTATATGACAATAGGTAGTGCCTTAAATTCTTAGCGATCCATGTCAAAGCGCAGTAGGTCCGCTCTAAGAAGAAGTATCTAGCTTTGTATGGTGTGAAGTTCATTCTCAAGTAATAGATAGCTTGCTTTTTCTTTCCAGTATCATCGTGTTGTCCCAAGACACATTCGAATGCATTATCCAAAACATACAAGTATAGTAGTAATGACTTTCCAGGTCAGGAGGGATTAATACTGGTGGACTCAACAAATATTCCTGGATTCTGTTGAAAGCTTTCAGACATTCCTCTGTCCACTTTGTAGCGGTATCTTTCTTCAACAGCTTGAAAATTGGCTCACAGATTACTGTTGACTGGGCTATGAACCCGCTGATGTAATTTAATCTTCTAAGGAAACTCATCACGTCCTTTTTGCTTTTGGGTGGAGGCAAGTCTTGAATGGCCTTGATATTTGAGGGATCCAACTCTATCCCCTTTTTACTAATGATGAAACCTAAGAGTTTTCCTGTGGGAACTCCAAGCATACACTACGCATGATTTAGCTTCAAACTGTACCTTCGCGACCTTTCAAAATGATCTGCACTCTTTCGAGACTTGATGATGATGTCATCCACATATACTTCAATTTCCTTGTGGATCATGTCGTGAAAGAGGGTTGTCATGGCCTCATATAGATAGCACCGATGTTCTTGAGATCGAATGGTATGACTCGCTAGCAGTAAACTCCATATGGCATGGTTAATGTTGTCTTCTCCACGTCTTCTTCGCGAATTAGCATCTTGTGGTATCCAGCGAAACAATCCATGAATGATTTCAACTCATGTTTCGTGCAGTTATTGATAAAGATATGGATATTTGGTAGAGAGAAGTCATCCTTAGGACTAGGTTTGATGAGATCTCGGTAGTCCACACATATCCTGATCTTCCCATCCTTCTTTGGTACCTGTACGATGTTTGCCAACCATGTACGATAATTGGTGACCCTCACCAAATTTGGTTCTATCGATTTAGTGACTTCTTCTTTGATCCTTAAACTCAAATCCGGCTTGAAGAGTTTGGGTTTCTGTTTGACTGGTGGCCTGGTAGGGTCGGTGGGCAATCGGTGCGAGACGATGTCGGTATTCAATTCGAGCATGTCATCATATGACCAAGAGAATACATCAATGTATTGTCGTAGGAGCTCTACCAATTCTTCCTTCTGTTCTGGCTTCAGATGGATGCTAATTCGAGTCTCTTTCACATCTTCTTCATTTCCTAGGTTAATAACTTATGTTTCTTTGAGGTTGGGCTTCTTCTAGCTTTCTAGCTATTAGATCTCTTGCGGGAGGTTCTCAGGAATCATACTCCCGTCGTATTCTTCATTGTCTGGATCATTTTGCTCAAGTTTGTTACATGTCATAATCGCGGAATGCAAGTTCTTATTGATTTGATTACTAAAAAGAAAAATTGAGTATAAATAAAGGAAAAGATAAATTCGCGATGATTTCAAAAAAATATTTCTTTTTACTTAATCAAAAGGAACATCTCAGTGTTCAAAGAGGTATTTTAAAAAAAACGTACAGTCATGGTTCAAGCCTCAATTGATCATGCATTTTTTCCAAAATTACTACAATTCCACACTACCAAGACTCCCGGCGAACTAGAGATGGACTGTCAGTCCAGTTATGCAAGGTCTCTCCTGGTTCATTATCCTGAATGATGGGTGTCTTGAAATCAACTTCGCCACAATATTCCTCGATCATGGCCACAAACAATCTTCCCATCCCGTCAATGATATCATCTTCTGGTGGTGAGCTTTGAGACGGGCCCAAAATATGCTCTGGTATCAAAACCTTCTTCCCAGTGTTACCATTATAGGTTCTTTCAGTTGTAGGTTGATACCCCAAGCCGGCGGTACCTTTTGACCCTTTCGATTCAGTTGGCTCTACTATCCCATATAATCGGGCTCCCAGCCTAGTGATATCCATACTTCATCATCTCTCGTATCGCCTTCTTTGACCTATATGGTGACTGTGTGTTGTGATTCTCCTCATTTTTCTCTATTTCTATTACTTGCATGATCTCGACTGCATGGAAGGTGACCCCATCTAATCTTTCTATGAAAGGAAATGCATGCTCCATGTAAGCTTACCGGCTCCACTCCCCATGTATCACAATCCCCTGGCTATCCCACTCGAATTTTATACATTGATGGAGAGTGGAAGGAATTGCTCCTGCCATGTGTATCCAGAGCCTTCCAAATAGTAGACGCTATGAAGACAAAATGTCCATCACCTGAAATAATATCAGGAACTCAATTGGTCCAATCTACAAGGCTATGTAGATCTTTATGATGACATCCTTATGTGACCCATTGAAAGCCCTTACTCTTACATGGCTCTCTTTCACTTCCCTACGATGTATGCCAAATTCTCGCAGAGTAGAGAACAGGCACATATTTACTCCGGATCCTCCATCGACAAGCATCTGAGATACGACTTTGTCTCCACACTTGGATGTGATGTGTAGAGCCTTGTTGTGATCCATACCCCCACAAGAGATTCATCCCTCTGAAAGGAAATCTTGTTTTCTTCGACCATCTTCCCAATGGTTATTGCTAGAGCCTCGCTGGTAGTATTGCTAGGCACACTTACCCCACTTAGTACTTTTACTTGATCATCCCTGTGACTGTCAGAGCTCATCAACAAATCCCTAATTTATATGGGGGCAGGGGTCTTAGTCAATTTTTCTTCTACGGATTATTCTTTAATCGGCATCTTCCTCCAAAACTTTGTTGCATCTGTGTCTATAATGTTTCTCCTTTGATTTTTCTCTTTACCCAGGTTCCCTCAATTCACCGCTTCTAGAGCATAACACCTTCCTGACCTCGTCATCCTGCGAGCACCTGCGGTGTCTGTCATTTTACCCTTACCCTTTGACTGATAAGTCCATGGAACTATTTTGTATTCTCAACTCCCATCATCGCTAATGGTGGTGGTGGACCGTTGCTGGTATGCCTAGACCATCACAAGAGCGTTCAGTTGCACAGTGATCAATGGAGTTACTTGAGGGGTGTTCTTCAAGCTTCGACATTCCCAATAGTGACGATGGTACCTTTCAAGTCATAGTCCTTGTCTAATGTGACCATAATGGTTACTTAGTTTCTATTGTTTGGTAGTGGGCTGCAATTTACACTTGGTAGGGCTGGGGTGCACTGGTTAGCTCCACTCTTGATCAATAGTTCGATCTCATTTTTTAATCTATAACAATCCTCGGTGTTATGCCCAGGAACACCTGAATGATAGGCACAATGCTTGCTGGCATCGAAATATTTGGAGGGTTGGTCGGGGATCCTTCCTTCCACCAGGTATATTAGTTCGGCTCTTCTCAATCTCTCGAACAGTTGGGCTAAAGGCTAGGCAATTGGAGTGAAGTTTCTGGGATTTCTTCCTTCAAAGTTTGGGCGTGGCCTAGATGCATAAGTCGGTCTGTTTTGGTGGGTGGTGGTTTCAACTGGAGCATATGGTTATGGTGGGTTTGGATGTATATTGGCTGGGGGGGCATCGTAGTGAGGTTGAGCATTGTAGTATGGTTGGGCATTATATACTAGGGTATAAGCGGGTTGATGCGGAGGATAAATGTTTGTGGGGTAGGGGTCGGTTCGACGAGGAGGACTTGACTGATAGTATGGGATGATCATCGTTACTTCCTATTTCTTCTTCCCACTGCAATTGGAACCGAATTGTATAGCCTTTCTAGCAGCTTGTAGCACGTCCATTGACTGTATCTTTCCTGACTTGATGCCTTCCTCTAAGAAGTCTCCCATTTTGACCAGCTCAGGAAATTTCTGACTAATCATACCCATCATCGTTTTTGAAATAAATACCCTCTTGAGCACGGATAAAGTAGTTTGTTAGCTCATTATCATCCAATGGAGGTTGAGTCCTAGCAATTTCTAATCTCCAGCGGCAAGCATATTCTTGAAATGATTCATAGGGCTTCTTCTGTAGATTCACCAAAGCGAATCTCTCTATAGTGATTTTAGTGTTAAATCTGAAGCGATTCATAAAATCTTTCGCCATGTCCTGCCACTTCCTCCAATTCTTGGGTTTTTGTCTGGTATACCAAGTAAGCGCTTCTCCAATCAGACTCCTTATGAATAGTTTCATTCTTAGCTTTTTGTTGCTCCCCACTCCAACCAACTGGTCATAGTATGCCCTTAAATGAGTGTGGGGGTCGCATGTTTCATCAAAAATGTCAAAATTTGGAGGCTTGTACCGCACAGGCATATCAACATCAGGATGTATGCACAGGTCCTCATAATCAAGTCTCTCGCTCTCTCGAGCAACCTGGAGATTCTTCATTTGTTTCCTCAATACTCGCAATTATTCCGATACTGACTCCTCTTCCTTGTATTTTTCTACTTTCTCGATCTCGGTATATTGATCTATCTCATTGGGCACTCTGACCATGATGGATGCGGTAAAGGTAGGCTCAGAAGTGGCATATACAGGTGGAACATACCGCTCAT